TCATTGGTATTTGTAGGTAAGTATGAAATGTGTTCCTCACATACCATGGGGCACCTGTTATTAGCCTCAGAACCCAATTTTGAACTGCCTCAACCTGCTTCACTTGAGATTTGCTTGCTGAAGTCCATTGGACAAATATATACGTCTTATGTCGAGAGGTAGATTAGACTCTTTGTTGAGAAGATAGTAAACTGCCAGATTCGGTATATTTAAATTTTTGTGCACTTTAAGTGCACTCCGAGGTATTTAACGGAGGTTTGCTGTTGGATGGCTTCCCCTTAGAGATTTATCGATAACGTTTCTATGCTTTTTTGTAAGTGAAACATACCAGTTGCGATTTTTTCGGGTTAAGCTTCACCCTCCAATTTTCACATCAATCAATGCCGAAGCCGCAAGGTCATCAGCAAAATGCGCCAATTTTAACACAGGAGAGTGGGGGTAATCTGCAGTGTTCAGAATGTAGAGTAATGTGTTAGACTTTTAGGGTCTTTTTTATACAATTACATAAACAAAACATACATACATATACAAAAATACAATTTTAAAAATTACAATAATAATTGCAATTTTTTTACTATTACCATTATTTTAATAAAAGGAAAAATTTAAAAATAAAAGGCACTGTAAGGGAAAAACAGAATTTATTCAATCCAATTATTTCTTTTCTAAAATTCTATTTACACTCTTCTTTCATTTAAATTGAATCTACAAACTTAAATTTTTACAAAAAATTAAAATCATTTCTTCTTGAAACAATATAAAAAAAACTTAAAATATAATTAAGAAGTATTTAACCTATTGTTAAAAATAAATGAATTCATATTTACGTATGCGCAATCCCCAAGGAATAAAATTAAGGAAATATGGAATAGGAAAAAACTCACACGACGAATGCCGTTTTCCTGATGTTTTCTCATAAGATGATTCTTCACAAGCCAAGTTGAAGCAGCTACGTTCGAGGTGGTTTGTTCGCAGTCTCCCCATGGAATGCCTCCTGTCCACCGCCTTTTGCCTTTCTGCAATTTTGTCTCCCACGAGTTCCAAAGTCCATCACCTCCTTCACGTTCATATCAATTTGTTTGTTATAAATGGACCCCATCCGCTTCCTCGTGGAACTCCAGCATTAAGGACTTTGGAGAGATCGTGTCTTTGTATTTGACAAAAAACGAACGATTGGTAAAGTATGAGAGTCGATAATACCTATCCAGGATATGGTTTTTTTTAATTTTTGAGAGCAAGCCGTGGTGCCAAACTTTGTCGAAAGCCTTTTCAACATCCAGGAACAGTCCGTGACATACTGAGACTTCCTCATAAGTGTTCAGGATGGTGCGACTATCTGATGTTGCTGAACGCAGGAATGGTTCCCTGGAAAACGAAATTAGATGTTAGGAATGCTGTCTTCTAATTTGGAGAGCAGTTTAGGCAACAATAATCGTTCCAGCACTTTAGAAAATAACTTAAATAAAAAAACTTACTTGGCGATAACTGTTAGGATTGTTCCTTAGTCTACCAAATTAGTCTTTTACAATAATTTTCAATTGTTTTGTCGTATCCTATAATATTCTCGATATCAGCCTCTCTGCTTTGTTCTGTTTGATGCGTTATGAATTCGCTGCTTCGATGGTTGGCTTTTCTATAAGAAATCTTACAATGTTCTTTGTACAGGATATAATCTAAATTAGGCTACTGTTGTGCCTTGGGTGAGTCACCAATAACGTCAAATTATCCACAGTTGATCGATCTTATTACTGGAGACATCCAGGAGGGAGGAATGGGACCGAAATTGGCAGTCGTCGAATAAAGCTATATTGACCAGAGAATTTCTACCATCCATTCACGAACAAACTTAAAGAATCAAGAACGTCCTTTATACTGCCACAAGTTCTAAGCGGGCGGAAAGTTTGTTGTTACATGTTCTTGCGATGGTCGTACACTATAAACAGTCTATCACTTACTATTTGACCGGAACAGATAATGCCTGCCAGGCGTGTACTGATCAAGAATATAATAACAAAAGGTTTTTTTTGACCAAGTAACAACTTCTGAATCCAGAGGGGAAGAAAAAGTTTGAACTGTTAATAGATTCAATCTTCAAATGACTGAACGAAGAAGAAGAACGTCTGATTCATGATAGATATAACTAAATATAGTTTTATTTAAGTAATATTTGTATAACAACTTATATGTATGCAGATAACATGTAATATTTTAAATGTAGCATGTTGAATAAAAAAATATTCTCTCATTTTCTTTATCTTTTTTATCTCACTCTAACTCCTGTCCCTAAAACATTCTGTTGTAAAAATAGGAAAATAGGCTAAACCCGCACGATTTGTGAGTGTTGCGTAAGTGTTGGTCTTAGACGCCTCGCCCTCGTTTTCTTTAACCTCCCCAGACCACCACCACCTTTTTCCTGAGACGCTCCAGTGCATGCCTTCACCAAAAGAGTACGACATGTTCTTTTGTACGGATCTCAGTTGGGAAAGTTTAAAGTATGGGCCTAGAGGTTTTGGGGACGGGCCTTTGATTCCTACCCAAGTACATGTTATACAGGGTGTCCCAGTTCCTTCTGACGAAACTCGGGGAATCGATTCTACTCTTCGTTTGGAGCAAAAAATGCTCAGGAGAAAATATTCGGAAAGTTCTCTATTTTGAAGATATTCGTCAATTTAGGTTTTTTCAACTTTTCACTACTTTACCACATAAAAACGCTTACAACTTCCAAAATGTTGAGACTATAATAAATCAACTTACACCATTTGAAAGAATGCTAAATTTGCTGTAAGATACTTCTATTTGCAATAATCTGAATTATATAAAGTGTTAGCCAATATCAGTTGGAACATGTCAAAATTACAAAATTTAAAATTTTGGTCATGATTGCACGTTCTACTGAGATTACAAAAAAATACCTAAAACTTGTCAAATTTCACAAAAACTTCTTCATCTAATATGCTTTACGTTGATATATCCAGGTTTTTAAATAACGTTCTAGTAAAGTTGAAAAATAAACGTTAAAAATAAATTTAGCGTTCTTTCAAATGGTGTAATTGGATTTGTTGTAGTCTCAACATTTTGGAAGTTATAAGCGTTTTTATGTGGTAAGGTAGTGAAAAGTTGAACCTAAATTGACGAATATCTTCAAAATAGAGAACTTTCCGAAAATTTTCTCCTGAGGATTTTTTGCTCCAAACAAAGAGTAGAAACGATTCCCTGATCCCTGAGATTCAGAAGTATTTTATATCAATTTACATAGCATAATACGGCCCTATATTAGTTCAAGAGTTTTTATTCTTCCAAACATTTCTTATTTTTAATTTTAGTTAGAGGGTCTATAAAAATTTTCTTTTAAATTAACTTTTTTTTAGAATTTTTTATAGCCATCTTATTTATTTTTATGTATTTTAAAATTTTATGATGACTGTTTGGTCAGGGTTTTAACGTTAATCATTAAAAGGTTCTTTACTCAGTCTCAATAGACTTTATTGGTGATGAAATATAGGCAAAATAACGGAGCGGTAAAAACAATAAGTTTGTAATAATAGAATAAGCGGTACGAAATCACTATTGTCGCTTTCCCTCACGACTTATGTACTTAGTTCTGACCAAGTCTGTTTATACTTTTAATACCAGGTTGTTTTCTGTCCGAGTGGATATCCCATCCTATATCTTTCCTGACCCACGCTCGGTCAAGTTGCCACAAAGTTGGACCGGTAAACCGCCTCGCCCTACGACCCTTGTACGCACGGGACGAGAAAGGGGGCTTAGGGATTAGTGCTAGTTAGGGATAAAGGGGTTAGATAGGTTAAGAGGATAAGGAGTGCCGAGGGGAGTAGACATTCGGACGCAGTTTAACCTTGGACGTATCTGGTGGGTATTTGATATGCTGGCCCATATGCGCTCATGCTTTGTAATCTAGATTTGTTGATCTTTTAAAATTACGGATGAATCGTTCGTTATAAACAATGCGGCTTTGTAAAAATGGAAGACATTTATATTCAGATTTGATGCTCAGACCAAAAGCATAATGAAGAATATTTATTATGACTGGATTTGACTTTTATTTTACGTGAACATTATTTAAGTTTAAAAATTATGGATATGGAACAAGTTATGTGTCGCATTCTTAGCTCACAGCGAGAAGGACCGGAACATTAACTTTTATATAAAATTGACCGAGCCTGTTTATAGCCCAGTATAGTTTCAAGTCTTCTAGACTTGATATCTCAGGGAAACATTTGCTGTAGGTCAAAATCGTTTTAACAGAAGCTTTAATGCCGTGAGATCAACTGTTCATCGATTGGCTGACACCCAGCGAAATTTTGCATTTATAAACGTTCGGGCTTTTTTCCTCTTCCATTTTCCCACATAACAGCCATCCATCACTGGCCGGATCAATTGAATCCCTTTCAAACGTTGTTTCAAAACGTACATGTACAAATTTTAAAATGTTCGATTCAGGCGCTCTTATATTATAATGAAATATAATGTTTTCGTTAGCAATTCGAAGACACGGAATTTCTGTCCCTTGTATTGTTGATAAAATAGAAAAACAGAAAAATAATAGTCATTAGAAGGTAACAAATCAGAGAAAATTTGCAGCATTTGTTGATCAATGTGTTTCAACCTGTTACCTGGTGACGCTTTTGCAACCGTTTATTCTCGCTAATGCTTGGATGTACAACATAATTGTAGCCACTCATAAATTCATGCTGCACTAATCTACATTGATTATTCTTTCAGGTATATCTATTTCCGCTGGGGTTTTACCTTGCTCATATACCAGCTTCATGACATCTCAATGAGGAATTGTGTGACAATGGACAATGGACCTTGGATTAGCAGTGTCAGAGCAAAAGAGCGCTGCAATGATAATATCCCGAAGAAGGAAACTAGTTCAACCCAAGGAATTAAAGTTAGGCCCATATAAGATCAAGACCTATCCCACCTTCAAATTCCTGGGAGTAACTCTTGACCGCAAAATCCTATGGAAACCATACATGGAGTATGTCGAGAAGAACGTTGAAAAAGCAATGAATATTTTAAGATGTACTTCTAAAGTTAAGTATGGATCCCACCCAAGCATTGGGTTAATGATGTACCGGGCCCTTATTCTCGCACGCATTGATTATGGGTCGATAGTCTACGGCAGTGCAGCCAAATCCCACCTAAAAAAACTTGAAACGGTCCAACACAGGGCAATAAGGCTTTGCCTTGGGGCATTAGGATCTTCCCCTACTAATTCCCTCAAGGTAGAGGCCAATACGGAACCGCTGCATCTAAGAAGGAATCGACTAACAACAAAATTCCTAGCTACTCGAATGCACGATCCCAACCATCCTGTAGTTACGGGACTGGATGCTTTGGCGGTCACTGCCCTTAGTGATCCTCACAAATCCCCTAGAGTCACGCCACCTTTACTTGAAACTCATATGAAAATGAAAAGCATCTCTCTGGGAAAAATCATCCGCTCGTCAAACACGAAACTCCACTGGCTTATTCCACTCTTCGCACCTAAGGTTATAACGTGCCTACAGGAATTGAAAGGTGAACAGGACTACATTAAGGTCTGTTTTGAGACTGGTAAAAGCCCGCTGGCTACGGTAGTCTATACAGATGGCTCAAAATCCCAGTGTGGGGTGGGGGCCGCAATACTTAATATAAATAATGACTATTCCAGACAGTTTAAACTCCCACCTCTGTGTACGATCTTCTCCGCTGAAGCTATAGCCATAAGGGAAGCTATCAAATACATTAAACAAACAAAACCAGCCAAGACCATAATTTGTTCGGACAGCCTTAGTGTTCTGACCGCCCTGAAGAAAACAGATACTCCTGAAGATCCCATTATTCTAGAGATCAAAAACATTTTGTTAGCCGGCGGAAGCGGTATAACTACTCATCTTCTCTGGGTCAAAGGCCATAACAACAACCGATTTAACCAGCGGGTTGATGCATTGGCAAAAGCGGCTGCTCTATCGGGAAACGACATCAAAGAGATCTCAGCCGGGGACATTGTATCGCATAATAGGGTCTTATTACGCAAGAAATGGCAAAGCGAGTACGAACAATCATCCAAAAGCAAAGGCATCTGGTACTCTGCCGCCCAACCAAACATCCAGTCTAAACCGTGGTTTTCAAATGTTAAAAGAAATAGGAAATTCTTTACCACTATATGTAGACTGAGGTTCAACCACAATAAACTCCCATCACACCTGCATAAGATAGGAATTACGCAAACAAGCAAATGCTCGTGCGACGGTACCACAACGGCGGATGCAAACCACATCATACTGGGATGCCCACTGAAGACTACCGGAAGAGAACATATTTTTATGGCGCTAAAGAAATATAAAATCCCACTCCCCACTACGGTAAACTTAATTCTAAACTATACGAACTTTATTGAAATATTAGATACCATATATAAATTCATCACCGATAACGACATCGATGTTTAAAGATATATAACCATCCTTGAGGCATGTTGGCATCCGGGAGGGGGACCGCGCGGGGACGGTCGGCTGGGGACCGTTGGGAGGGCATCTGCGCTCTCGGGGCACGTTACGCTCCGGACTGGGTGATGGTGTTGGGCTTTCCGTTGCAAATGGAGAGCCCAGGTGTCCTTCCTGGCCGGTCTCGGGGGCCGTGCTGGCTCGGCGGGGGCCGCCTTACGGGGGCAGGTAGCACCAAGCAATGAATATAGATGGCTAGATGAACACTAGTTCAAAGGGACTCGTTCCGTAAGTCCAGTTTTAAGCTGAAATCCACAGTACCAGTTGTGCGATAGAAATTTTAAAAGGGTTTAAAATGACAAANAAAAAAAAAAAAAAAAAAAAAAAAAAAAAAAAAAAAAAAAAAAATGTGTGACAGCTGATATTATTTTGATATATCAAGGATAACTCTAAACTCTAATGGAAGAAAAGGGAGATATGCCCAAAACCGAGAGCGGAAAGGTCTATTAGTTTTGGTCCGTGAATAATGAACATTTTCTTTTGGTTTTGGTTTTCGGACGGTGTGTTTTCGAGAGATCTTGAGACCAATCAGGCAGATCCAATTCCGCTGCACCTAGCCCCCAGAAAAATAGTAATGGTTTTGCTTTTTCGTTCTTCCCCTTCGGGATTTCCCAATATAAATAATAATACCACAATAATAATAATAAACATGATAAGCTCTTGTGTCTTGGCTTTTACCAAAATTCAAAATTCCTTGGACTCACAATTTGCTTTCCGATACTTGGAATGAATATCACAGGAAATAAGCGAAGGGAAAATGTCTTGGGCTATTGCCAAGCATAAAAAATAAACACACAATCTAACATTTACGTGATTAATATATGCATTAAACGTTTGGAAAATTCTATTTTGAATTTGAAAGATGTATTCAAAATGGTATCACTTTAAATTAACATGATTATAATAATTGAGAGACAATTGGAAACGAAACAACACAGAAATAACATGTAATTTTTATTTTTTCGCATTTATTTGCGAAATTGCAACAGCACTAGATTAACAATTAAAACCCGCATATTGAGTGGATTCGAGAGAAAATCAATGGGTTAAAAAAACATTATTATTACTTGCACGTATGTATTTCTGAATATGTATAAAGGGCCTCTCTTAGGATACTCCTCAACAGTTTATTTATTGAAACATCACTTTTATCGGCATATTAAGTCTCAATATTGACCTATTTCGACTATGTTTTGAACTATATCCTTCCTAGTTTGTAAATTCTACTTTTAGAACAATTTTCATTTTTTCGTTTTATCTAAGGTACTCATTGATAGTATGAATTCCTATGCCTCAGAAGAGCTCAGGACGTATCAGCGGTTTAGCAAACTCCTTGCAATGGCATCCGTGTTGCCCTCTACTCCCAGGTGTCCACAGGACCCAGAATAGGGTGGAATTGCTTTGCATACCTAACCTGTTTAGTTTATTTTTGCAATTCACTACCATCTTTGAGTTAATGATGTTTGAACTTAGTGCGTTGATGACTGCTTGGCTATCTGACATGAGTTTTTGTACCTTGTTTTTGTACCGGCTGTCCAGATTGAACTGGCTACATACTCAATTGCATGGATTTCAGTCTGGAATATACTGGTGTATTTTCTCATGGATTCTGAGCATTTGGTTCCAAGTGTGAATACCTCCCGTACTTTCTCGGGTTCTAGGTTCGCCAGTGTACCAGCAGTTGGTGCCATTCTTAACGGAGGGGTTTCTCCCAGTTGCCCATTATTTTTTGGTTGTGTAGTTAGTCTGGAAATTTTGTTTGAGCTCGAACATCAGGTTCATGTCGTCTCTTAGAGCCATGGGTATCGGATATTCTTTCCCATCCTTCCGTATTAGTTTTAGTCCTGGTGGTGGTTTTTCTTTGATCATGCTTATTATTGTTTTCGGTTTTTGGTGGAGGGGGTTTAATCCCAATATTTTCTCAATACCAGCTGTGGAGCATGTTCTCATCGCTTCCGTTATACAAACGCATGCGAGTCTGAATTTTCGTGGCTCTCTCTATTTTGTCGTCGGTTCTACTTATATGGTCTATGGAACCATATGTGAAGATAGGTCTTCTCATAGTCATGGTGTAGAGTACTTCTGAAACATACAGCAAGAATAAATGGATGTGGCGAGGACGAGGGCGAGAAAAAAAAAGAAAAAAGCTGACTACTCAAAAGTATGCTTGTTGAAATGAAGTTGTTTATTAGCGTGTAATGTACGACTTTCCCCCTCATTTGCAGTTGTATGGATTTCCCCCTTAGCAATCAAAATTTCTTCTAATGGGTCCGAGGTATACGCTGCTAATGGTTTTGTCAAATTTTGACTATTTATCTCAAATCTCGAGTTCAAATTGAATTTTTTAAATCTCAAATCTCGTCTTCAAAAGTCGGGTTGCTCAGGAGGTCACAACGTCACGGTACTGTTCCGAGGTCTGTAGGTCCAATCCCATTCGTAAATCAGTAATTATTATTTTCAGCAACGTATGTTAACAAGATTGATATCACAGGTGTACAGCAGTGAGATTATATGCCAATAGATACACATATTTATATCACACAATTTGTGAGTAAAGTTTGTATATATTTTTTTACTCCCATATACATAAATATGTCGGAAAGTCAGAAAAAACGCTAAAAACAACATTTACAACATTTAATTACTTCTTTACACGTGGTAAGTCATAAAAACGAAATCGTTTTTCACATAATCTACAAGTACTTAGAAAATGAAATCCTGGATGTAGAGGCGAATCGGGAAAACCTTCCCTCATAATTATGCAGCAGGCGTACCTACCGAGAATAGGTCACTCGGTTACAAATTGGAAGACGTCATCCATGACTCTCGAATTGTACGTGGCTCACAAGAAGTTTTCCTTTTCAACTTGAAATACGGTTTATCACAGTCTATACATTTGATAAATGTGACAGGATTGAACTTCTATTTTTTTATTCTTCTTTTTGACTTTTAAACTTCTATTACTGTCAAATATAAAATATTCTGATCTGTCGCATTAATGTTTTTTTGGTTGAAAGCGAGTATACACGTACGCATACATACACATATATGATAATAAAAATCTAATGGCGTTAAAGCTGAAAATGACCTAATGTCTATTAATTATCAAGTCCCTTGGCGACTGTCGACTTGACCCAACGAGATTTCGAGGGAGCAAATTTTATGGACAGTGTGTGTTTTTATTGATCTATGGATTTTAGTGGAACGGGAAAGGATGAGTGTGGTTTCCATTGTTCGCTTTTGATTGTTGTTCAACAAAGTCATACTGAACTCCCGGCCATAGACACCACTTTTCCGGAGGGCAACATACATTTTTCAGTCAAGTATGACCTACTGAACAAAATTCCAAATAGAAACTGCGATGTACTATGTTTGCAATACAGTCTTGATCGTTTGTCAAGTATATGTGATGGAAGTAAGTTATCCCTTATTGAGAATACATTTAAATCGCATGCTTTGTCCTATTAATTGAGAAAGTTGTACGCATGAATTTTCATCGAGTGTGAAAATAGATAATTTCATATTACCATTGAATTCTATTGAGTTTGAAAAGAAGACTGGGGATCGTCCCTCCAGAGTGCTTCTTACAGTTGGGCAGTTAATGCCATTGTTGAGTGTCTGTTAAGGGATATAGAGCAGGTTGAAGGCACTATAAAACCGTCTTTAATGGGATTATGTACAAAAAAATGTGGTTGGCATTAAACAGTACAGACATGGCTACAAAGACATGGATAAAATGTCTCGGGAAGAAGCTAACACTCTGGGAAGGCACCAGGCTGCGGGTAGTAGAGGATTAGATTACATCTCCCACGCCGCAGATAGTGGTGGGATACTTCGCAAATTGTGACATGAAAAAAGATACAAATAAAAAAGGACCAATGAAAAATGCACTCGAAATATACAAATTGTGGCTTTTGAGAGTACCATCAGACTCGTGAGATACAAGTAAAGAAAGCCAGAAGCATGGAGGAGTCACTACAAAATGCTGGAGTGAATTAAATTAAATGAAATGGCTATAACGGTACCAAAACGGGAGAAACACTCAAAATGAACAAGCTGATCAACAAGTCAAAAAAGGGTCAGCCCTATCACCCATGGGACCAAAACCACAACTAGGTGTACCATGTTGGACTTGATACATGACTTGAGAAAGAAAAACTCAATTACTGGATCAAAGTACCAGGTATGAGGCAAGCTAAGAGTCTTACTTATAAATCTCTTAAAAAGGAAGGCGAAGGAACCCCTCTCCCTCAGCAAGTAGGATTTGAGGAAAATTATAGGCCTGCTTTTTTAACTGGCACCTCTTGAAGATGGGCAAAGCAGAGACAGAAACATGAGGACTGTATCAGGAGGAACTTATTTATATTAAACTTATTTATATCGGTAAATATTCCTTGTAAATGTGAAGCATAAGCTCGGTTACGGTACAGCCGCTTTAGGAAGGCAATTCTCTCACCAAAAGAGTTGCGCAAAGAGGTACCAAAGAAACTGCTTAGACTTAGGGAATAGTCCACTTTCTAAAGTACGGTTATAATTTATAGGGGTAGATAGATCTAAAGGTCACAATGAAGGAAAGTATTTTTAAAATCGTTATTCAACGTTACAAATATAAAAAAAATTGAGTTTGAAATTTTTTAAGGATTGCGCTTGATTTGGCCCATTTGTTCAATTTGCTTGGCTCATTGATTTAGAGCTAAAACGAAGTGCATGAAATGACAGCGCTTTTACATTTTCAGAAATGCGTAATCGACGTTGAGAAATTGCTCAAAATGTATAAATCTCATTCGTATTTAAGCACAACGGTATTCGGACGTACTGATGGATCCAAAAGTCGTGTTAAAAGCTCCTCGAGTTTGTTTTTTGTTCACGGTGAAAGTTTATATATTGTGTACGACATAGGACAAAAAATTCCTGTGTGAAAACTTAGTAAGATGATTTTCCCGAGAAAAAAAAAAAAAAAAAAAAACAGTTAAAAACCAAAACAAAAAATTGTTTTGAGTACAACTCGAAGGTTTATGTTTTTTTGGTAGAAAAATGTAAACATGATTCAAAATCAATGTCATTCGGATTAATTCGACCCAATTAAAGCTCGATGTGAAATTAACGATAATCAGGCTATCGTTACCGAGTACAATTTACGGATAGATGTCGAGAGTTTAGAATTAATCTCTATCGCGATGGGTTTCGAAAGGGGCCCGGCCTCCGGTTTGTGGCGTGTTAATGGCTATCAGGCCACAGTCAACTCATTAGCACCAATAATCACTCAACCCCGATTGCCCTGTGGTTAAAACACCGGTTAAAAGATCGAAGAGACCCTCCGATTTGTTTCTGGCAGAGAGCACTTGAATTGGAATAATTGGACGTGGACACACCCTGCTCGAGGTTAAAACCCAAGCGTAAAATTAGGCTGATTCGATAAAATACATACATAGATTGGCTTCGTTCATAAACAAAGGCCGACAAGTAGAATTACAATATGACCATGCAGGTGCCAACAATTCATCTATTCCATGATAATGAAGGAGGCGAATTTTATCTCCTTTGGTAGAAACACTAAAATTAATGACCACTGGTCCATCACCATCAAGCTCAGAATGGTTTATGACACCTTGACAAAGAAAAGGAATTCATCATTAGAGGAATAGGAATTCATCAAGAAATTCAACATTAGGGGTATTCACGAAGTTTGTAAGAGATTGTGTAATCTCGAATAGAGAAATGTTAATTTTTCAATTTTTCTTAGCGATAAGTTAAATTGTAAAATAAGAACAAAGAAACGAGGAAAAAGGGACAGGGGTTGTGCTTTGAAGGGGCAACCGCCCAGACGGGAACGACGTGACTCATCTGGCAAATGTAGCTTGGAAATGGTTACCCAGGTAGACAGTTAGGTAAGAACGGGGGACATCGTAAATTGGGAATACGTCAACCCTGTGCTAGACCGCTGTCTTTGCCGGCCCAGCCGCGGCGTGAGAACTCCCCCGACTTTTGAGTTTCCTTTCCACCCCTACTCCGGGAGAGATCCGGTATAAAAGGGTTGACTGGAAAATCAAAAGTCAGTCAAGATCCGAGACTCACCCCCCAGCCAGTCAACATCAGAGACTCATCCCAGGCAGTCAAGACCAAAGACCGGGAGAGAAGCAGCCACACTCCGTTTGGGATTCAACAAGAGGACACAGCCAGCCAGAGCCAGCGAGGATCAGCCGTTGCGACCAATCGAGCCAAGCCAGTGATCGAGAGAAGAGATGCTGTGGACACTGATCGTGGCGAGCATCGTTTGGGGTAAGTCCCTTTGTTGATAGTCTCATCCCAGATTTAGAGTTGTGGCTGAGTTGTAGATTAAGTAAGATTCTGAGGTTTTTAAGATTAAGAGAAAGAATTGTGTACAATAA